CATCGTCCTCATCATCAGCACCACCAGCATCATCATCGAACTCGGCATCAGATGCATCCTCAGTATATCATCATCGACATGGTAACCAGCATCACCACCACAACCACTAACAACAACATCGTCACCATCATCATCATCATCATCATCATCATCATCATCATCATCATCATCGTCATCGTCACAATCATCATAACCAGTATCATACGCATCAGCAGCATCACCAGCATTAACAATACCGTAATCACCACCATCATCATCACCGACATCATCACCGACATTATCATTACCATCATCGTCACCGTCACCAGCAGCACCAGCATCACCGCCATCATCCACCATCATCCAACGCATCGTCATCATCAACGTAAGCGTCAGCATAAGCATCAGCAGTATCATCACCATCGTGGTAATCATCATGGACAGCATCATCAGCATCAGCATCTGCATCATCATCAACGACAACATCATCAACAGTTGCATCAACTTCGCCATCACCATCAGCATACGCAACATCAGTGTCAGCATCATCAGCATCATCAACATCGTCAGCTTCATCACTGGTATCAATATCAGCATCAGCATCAGCAGAAGCATCATGATCATCGGCATCACCATGACCATCTTATTCAGCATCACCAACAACGCCATCAACAACAGCATCACCACCACCAACATCCGCATCCTCCTCATCATCATCAGCATTATCAGCATCGTAATCATCCGCAGCAGCATCATCATTGGCATCATCATCAGCATAATCAGCATTAGCAACATCATCAGTTCAGCCTCGTCATCACCTTTATCACCATAATCATCATGAGCATCGTCAACATCATCATCATCATACGCAACATCATCATCATGTTCCTCTTCTACCACCCCAACCTTATTCCCATCCCCCGCCTTCTCCTCTTCGCCCTCCTCATCATACGCCTGTTCTCTCACCTCACCATCGTTGTCTCTCCCCTCCGCCTGCGTATGTTCCTCCTCTGGCGAGAGGGAGGGAGAGAGTACCCAAACACTACCTGAGAAGCACCAGTCGTGCCAGACGAGGGCGGAAGAGAGAGGGATGAGTGAGGAAAGAACGGTGAGGAGAAAGGACCCGCCCCCTCCGCAATCGCCTCGTTCAGCCTCTCCGTCCTCCTCCTCCTCCTCCTCCTGCTCCTCCTCCCATAGCTTCCCTCATCATTCCTCCTCCTCCTCCTCCTCCTCTTCCTCCTCCTCCTCCTCCTCCTCCTACTCCGAAGCCTCCTCGCACCCCGTCAGCCCACAACTCCCGCTCTGCTCCACATCCGCCATCTGAGGATGTCCCGTGGGAAACTCGTGGGGGGCCTCTTGGAGGCGTCTTGGAAACATTCTTCGGGACTCTTGGGGGCACCTCTTGGATCCAGTGAGGCCTCTTGTGGGCCTCTTGGGGGCTCTGGGATGTTCCTGCAGACCTCTTTGGGCGAGAGTCTCTTGGAAGCCTGTCGGGCGCGTCCTGGGAATTGTTTTTCGGAGCGTCGAGAGAACCTCTGCGGGGCCTTGGGGGTGCCTCTTCGCGCGTTCGGGGAGCTTCGTGGGGCCACTTGACGCCTCTTTGGGCCGCTTGGGGCACCTCTTCGAGCCAAATTGGGGTTCTCGCTGGGGTCAAACGTGCGAGCACGCGAGCGAATATGCGAGCAACAACACTCATTGCTGTCCCCGGGTGTTTCTATGATTGGGGTCTTTCGAGGGCTTCCTTGGGCCTCCGTTGGGCGGTGTTGGGAGCACCTTGGAAGCCTCCTGGCACTCTCTTGTGCGCTCGCTGGGGTCTCGTGGTCGTCGGGTGGAGAGCCCTTTTGGGCTGTCCGGGAGGCGTTGTACAGAGTTGTACGCTAAAATCACTCTGTGCGTGGCCTGCCTATTTTGCCCCATGTCCATCTATATGGTTATATCGATATACACCGAGTGTGTTTCTATCTCTCGCTCTCTCTATCTCCCTCTCTCTCGCTCTCTCTCTCTATCGCTCTCTCGCTCTCTCTCTATCTGGTGTACCATCATTCCTTTATGTATATGTATAGATGTATAAATGTGTATGTATACACACCTATGTGCATTGATCGAATCGATTTGTGTATACATGCACATGCAACAGTGTATATATATAGAGAGAGATCCATCTCGAAAGTGGCTGCTCCGTCTCAGATCTCTCTCCCTCTCTCTATCGGTTGCCTCCCTGTTTCGGTTTCTCTCTCTCTCTCTCTTTCTCTCTCTCTCTCTTTTTTTCTCTCTCTCTCTCTCTGTATATAGATAGCTCTATACATGCAAAAATAAATCAATGAACCTATATGTATATGCATATATATATATATACAAGACTGCAGTGGCGCTTCGCGCCATGCACCTTGGTCCTTGAAATTTGGTATGCAGGCGGCATGGCAGGAAGGTCAAGCCGACAATTTAGCGATAACTCCTGGTTGTCTTTTCTGGCATCGCCGATATAATGATGTTTTTCGTTATCCTTCCTCCATGCTTATTGTTCCTTATGTTCGCCATACCCTGTGCATTCTCATCATCCTCCTCAGCTCTTTTTTGCGGAGGCTCCTCCTTGGAGAGCCTCCAGGGGCCTCACAAAAGTTGTTTCGGGCTTTCGTAAGGCCTTCTGGAGGCCTCCTGGGCGTCTTCTGGGAGCCTCCGGGGGCTTCCTCGGGCCACCCTGCCTCCAACCGCCGTCTCCCTGAACGACCGAATCACGATTTGGAATTCTTCGGAGGGTGTCTTTGGGCCATCTTGGGCCGCCATGAGGCTCTTTGAGGGCCATCTTGGACCCGTGTTGTGCCGTTTTGGGGCTCTCTTGGACTGCCTGGAAGCACTTTCGGATGGTTGTGGGGCGATTTGGGAGCCTCCCAGGCGGCTTCGGACGCCCAGAAGACCGGCGTCTTGGAGCGTCGGGAAGCCGAAAAGAGGAGAGCCCCCAAATTCAACAAAAACTTACAGAAAATCAATGATTTGTGCATCGGGGGGCCTTCTTGGGAGTGCTCTTGGAGGCCTCTTTGGGGCCGTCCTGGAGGCCTCTTGGGCCATCTTGAGGTCACGTCGGTCACTCTTGGAGCGCTCTTGTGCTGTCTTGGGGGTCTCTGGGACGTCTCCGATGACCCCCCTGATCGCCCTAGTGTGCTGGGAAGGCTTGGCAAAACGCCATGTGAGGCCCGGTGGCCGCTTCGAGGTCCGTCTGGAGGGTCCCAACAAGCACCAGGGTCAGGATAGTCCGGTTTTTTTTGGGGGGGGTAGGACGCGGTTCCCCCGCCGGGCTTTGCAAATAAAAAAAAAAACCTCATTATAAAAATATAATTATTTATAATATATATAGAAAGACAGGGTCTCTCCCTCACTCTTCCCTACTCTACCACTCTCTCAACTCTGGGAAGTTGTGCTCCCGCACCTCTTCGCACACCGTCGACACGCCCTTACGCTCCCTCTCCAATCCCTCCCTCTCTCGATTCGCTCTGACACTCCCTCTCCTCCTCATCCCTCTCTCCTCCCTCCGCCTCTCCCTCCCTCCCCTTCCTCTCACTCTCTCCTCCTCTTCTTCCCTCCCTCTCCCTCCCTCCCTCTCCCTCCCTCCCTCTCCCTCCCTCCCTCTCCCTCCCCTCCCCTCCCTCTCACTCCGGCGATTCGTTTCAGGCGGCAAGGGAGCCACCAGCGGCCAGGGCACCAGTCAGGGCCCGCCGCTCCACCTGCACGCCCGGCGACGTGCCGGCTGGGGCCCAGGCTGCCGGGAGAGCCGACTTCTGGCGAAGCGGAAGAAGAAGCAGCAGCGCTAAGTCGGGCCTGTCCCCCTACAGGCCGATTTCAAACAAAACATTAAAATAGTAAAAACAATATGCTGAAACACTCAAACATGAAAACAAAAAAAAAAGTCCACAGACTATGTTTGGACTATCTTTTTAATGTTCCTCCTGTAGAGGGACAGGCCCGACTTAACAGCAGCAGCAGGAGGCAAGACAAGACAAGAAAAGACAAGACAAGACAAGTCAAGACAAGACAAGACAAGACAAGACAAGACAAGACAAGACAAGACAAGACAAGACAAGACAAGACAAGACAAGACAAGACAAGACAAGGCAAGGCAAGGCAAGGCAAGACAAGATATTACATGCGATCAGAGCACCCCCTAACCCCTTTGGGAGGGGACCTAAGCTAGGAGAGTCCAAACATTGAGGATAGGGGGTCAGTTCTCCAGGTGCATCAGGCAAGACCAGCCAGAATGATGACCTCTCATGCGAAAACGGGGACCTAAATGAGGCCACTTCTGCATCGTGATATTAGGGTCAGGTCTTCTTTTCTTCTCGATGACTTGGATGCTTGGAAATGAGCACCAACACCAAAACAGGGGGGTGCGTCCGCCGGTGGAGGACGACGCTGTAGTTTGGTGTTGGTGGTCACCTTTTCGGCTACCTCGAAGCCTGAATATCACCACCATCACCGAGATCGGGAGAATCCTCCCTCGGTGGAAGTACACCGCCCCTATTGGTGTTGATGCTAACCTCTGGGCCTCCGCGTGTAGACACTCCAACATCGCAGTGGAGTTCAGAATCGATCATGGGACGCATAGAGACATACTAATACTACACTTCCTCCTTGGAGGCGCGCGTCCGACCCGAACATTTAGTATACCCATCTTGTGGTATATCGTTTCCCGAGCGGCGTGGCCAGAAAGCGCCCGCCACGCCGCACATGCTACAAGATTTCTCGGTGCGCGCGCCGCCCCCTGGGGTGGGCGACGCACATGTGGTTCGGCGGTGGACAAACCTCCCTTTAATAAACCTCCCCTTCGTGAAAACGGCCTGGGACCGAAACCGACGGACCTGGACCCGCAAAAGTGACGGCCGCGGCGCCCTCTCGCGAACGAAATCGGCCAATGCCTCGATCGACGGGTCAGGGTAGGAGGTCTGTCCATCCCCGAGTGGTAGAAGCGTGTTGGGGTGACGCCGAGATCAGCCTCGTGGGATCGAGGAAGCTCTGCGCGCGGCTTCGGCCTCCAACCCCGAGTGGTAGAAGCGTGTGGGGGTGACGCCGAGACCAGACTCGTGGGCTCGAAGAAGCTCTGCGCGCGGCCTCAGCATCTCCGGACCTCGACCGCGAGCGCCCGCGGCGCGTCGGGAGAGAGCCGCCCGCGCGGCACCGGGCCGGGCGCCCCCTCCCCCCCCAGCGGGGCGCGCAGGTCTGGCGGGGGGGCAGCCACTCGCCATCGCTCGGACGTCCATTTCCCGTGCATTTTTCGGTTTCGTGTGTGTTTTTGTTGCTCGATGGTCCAGGATCGTCCTCAATGGCTCTCGCCGAGAAAAACATGCACACGTCCGAGCGATGCCAAGGCCATGGGGGCCAACGTCAGGCAGTAGGAGCGATCGGGCGGGTGCGAATGCTAGGTCGGGCATGTCCTCCCTACAGGCGGACTCCGGAAGAGAAATGAAAAATAGTCGGAAAATAATGAAACATATTCAGAGATAGTAGAAACATCGTCCTCGGACTATTTTTTATCTATTTTTGAAGGTTGCTGTAGAGGGACATGCCCGACTGCATGCTTATGGGGGGGGGACCCAACTGGGGGGTGCAGAGAAGGACCCGAAAGGGGCCCTTTAGGGCCCCTTTTGGGCACCAACTGGCTCCGAACGGGGCCCTGAAGGGCCCCTGGAGGCACCTGCTCTTCACCCCCCCTGCGCGTCACCCCCCATCCCCACCCGGCCGAGCAGTGGGTGGGGGGAGAAGGATACGCCAGATGGGCCCGGGCGGAGTCCGAGGACGGATTTTGCAGGGCTTTGGCCGCATCCCCCCCTCCTGACCAATTGTATTGAGTTCTAGCCAGTCTAGACCCCCCGGCCGCCTGAATTGTCCCCGCCAATTCGTGGATCGTCCTCGCGAATCGGCGATGGCCCGCATGGACCCCGACACAGACTGGCAGACGATAGCCCGCGACATCTTGGTCATGGTCAGGCTTTGGGCAAAACAGCCCCCCACCCGGGTAAGCCCACCAGCCCTCGGGGCGTCTTCTGTATGCCGAGTTTTGCCTTCTCTCTACCGAAGACCCTCCTTCCCTTGCTCGGGAAAGGGGTGTATCACTGCTCCTCCCTGTTAAAATACACCCCCTCCCCCAGGCGACCGGCAGCCAACCAGGAACAATTAGGACCCCATGAGGACACCCCCCCACCATCCCTGTCAAAAAAACATACAAAACGCAATCTGCTGCCTCCACATTTGGCGCATGCGCAGCTAACCCGATGCGCCCCCCCCATCATCCAAGTCAAAAAACAATACAAGGTACACTGTGGAGCAAAGTCTTGAGTCATGTTCGTGTTGGTCCGCGAGCACATCGTATGGTTTTTTGACAGGGACGGCGGGGGTGTCAGCATATTGCCTGCTGCGCGCAGGGCTATCACCCCTGACAACACACAATACAAAATGCACCTCGCGGCTAAATCTGGATCATGCGCGGCCACCCCGCGATCACTGGCAAATGCTGTTCGACAGGGACGGCGGGGGTGGTGGCGTGTGGCCTGCTGTGCGCAGGCCCACCAGACACAACGACGGGCGCTTGTTTTCGAAAGGGATGGTGGGGGCCGACATGTTTCCCGATGTGGGCTGTCGCGTGGGCAGGCGCACCTGACACACTCTGCACGTGCCCCGAACGTCGCGCACCTGGCGCGGCTGGAGCTTACGGCACACCTGGCGCACGCGGAGCGCGTGGCGCATCTGGCGCACCAGGCGTGCCTGACACGCTCGGGCGCCCCAGGGGTGCCCGGCGCGCGTGCCGCGCGCCTGGCACGCGCGGCGCACCTCGACTCAGCGTCGCGCTCATGGGGTCGGCGTTGGTTCCCCGCAGCTGCCCACCCGAAGACGACCGCTGGACATGCGCAGGCTCGGGTGTTATGTGTTGGGAGGGCGGGTGGAAGTGAGCCAGGCGGCCCTACCCCCTCTCCTGGACTTGGACGGGGCGCCCCGCACGGTGTCAGAGGGTAATTTTCGGTCCAAGATGGCTCCAACAGGGCCTCAGAGAGCCCAAGATCGCCTCCAAGATGGCCCGAGATACTCGAACATGCCCCACGACAGCCACAAGAAGGTTCCAAGTGCCCTTCGAGCCTTCCCAGGCACCCTCCAAGAAACCAATTTGTTGGGTTTTCGGAAAACCACTGTGTGTTGCTTTCTCGCCTTTGCGCTTCCAATGCGCTTGTGAGGCTTCGAGATGGCCCAAGAGGGCCCCAAGAAGGCACCAAGAGCGCCCAAGAGCGCCTCAAGAAGGCCCCAAGAGGCAAGGATTGAGCCTCCGAAGGGGGCACCTAAATGAATAACCCCCCTCTTTTCAAGCCATGGGGGCCAAGAGGCCTACCAGACCCCTCCAATTGCCCCAAGACCCCAAAAATGAGACCCAAGAGGGCCCCAAGGGTGCCCCAAGAGGCCCCACAGGGGTCCTAAGAGAGCCC